GTAACATCATGCTTTGGGGGTGCTTTTCTGCGAAGGGGACAGGACGACTGCACTGTATTAAGGAGAGGATGAATGGGGCCATTTATTGTGAGATTTTGAGCAACAACCTCCTTCCCTTAGTCAGAGCATTGAAGATGGGTCGTGGCTGGGTCTTCCAACATGACAACGACCCAAAGCACACAGCCAGGATACCCAAGGAGTGGCTCCGTAAGAAGCATATCAAGGTTGGCCTAGCCAGTCTACAGACCTAAATCCAATAGAACATCTTTGGAGAGAGCTGAAACTCCGTGTTGCTCAGCGACAGCCCCGAAACATGACAGATCTAGAGGAGATCTGTGTGGAGGAGTGGGCCAAAATCCCTGTTGCAGTGTGTGCAAACCTGGTCAAGAACTACAGGAAACATTTGACCTCTGTAATTGCAAACAAAGGCTTCTGTACCAAATATTAACACTGATTTTCTCGTGTGTTCAAATAATTATGTTCAGCAGTGCAAGACAAATAAATTCTTTAAAAATCATACAATGTAATGTCCTGAATTTTTTTTTTAAATTCTGCCTCTCAGAGTGGGAATGCACCTACAATGTGGATTTCAGACCCCTCCATGATTTCTAAGTGGGAGAACTTGCAAAATCACAGGGTGTTCAAGTACTTCTGTGCCTCACTGTATATATATATATATATATATATATATATATATACAGTTGTGTCCAAAATTATTCAACCCCCAATGCTGTAAAGGGGTTTAGGGACTATAGTGTACATTTGGAATTGTATTCAGAATCAAATCCTACAAGGACGTTGTAACTACCCAAATGCAACTAAAATGACATCAATTGTTTATGTAATACAGTAGTAAATGGTTCTTATGTGGTTTCTTCATTGCCACAATTATTCAACCCCTTAAAGACTACCACTCTGAAGAACAGAGGTTCATACAGGTGCTTTCCATCAGGTATTGAAAACACCTGTGGATGTCACCGAGCAGCAATCAAGCATAATAAGCACCAATTAGGCAGCTTTAAAATGACTGTGATACTCAGCTCCTTCTAGACATTTACTGGTGTGGTTACAAACATGGTGAAGGCAAGAGAATGGTCCAGGAAGACAAGAGAAGAGGTGATTTCTCTTCACAGGAAGGGCAATGGCTATAAGAAGATTGCAAAGATGTTAAACATACCAAGAGACACCTTAGGAAGCATCATTCGCAAATTCAAGGCAAAGGGCACTGTTGAAACGCTACCTGGTCGTGGCAGAAAGAAGATGCTGACTTCGACTGCTGTGCGCTACCTGAAGCGTAGAGTGGAGAGAAGTCCCCGTGTGACTGCTGAGGAACTGAGAAAAGATTTGTCAGATGTGGGTACAGAAGTTTCAGCCCAGACAATAAGACGCACACTGCGTAATGAAGGCCTCCGTGCCAGAACTCCCAGGCGTACCCCCTTGCTGTCTCCAAAGAATAAGAAGAGTCGACTGCAGTATGCCAAAAGCCATGTGGACAAACCACAAAAGTTGTGGGATAGTGTTCTGTGGACTGATGAAACAAAATTAGAACTGTTTGGGCCCATGGATCAACGCTATGTTTGGAGGAGGAAGAACAAGGCCTATGATGAAAAGAACACCTTGCCTACTGTGAAGCATGGTGGGGGTCAATCATGCTTTGGGGCTGTTTTGCTTCTGCAGGTACAGGGAAGCTTCAGCTGTGCAAGGTACCATGAATTCTCTTCAGTACCAGGAGCCATTGGATGGAAACGTGATGCAGTCCGTCACACACCTAGAGGCTTGGGAGACGTTGGACCTTCCAACATGACAATGACCCAAGCATACCTCCAGGTCCCTAAGGAGTGGTTGCAGAGAAAGCTGGAACATTTTGGCCTGGCCATCGCAGTCACCAGACCTAAATCCGATGAGAACCTCTGGTGGAGAGAGCTAAAGAAAGCAGTGCAGTGCTCAGCGAAGCCTAACATGTGACAGAACTGGAGGCCTTGTGAAGAATGGGCCAAAATACCCTGTTCGCTGCAAACACTGGTCAAGCTATGCTTCATTTGAAAAGCTGTTATAATTGCAAAAAAGGCTTCTGTACTAAATAAGATTAACACTGATTTTCTCGGTGTTGAAATAATTATGTTCAGCAGTGCAAGAAAATAAATTCTGGTTATTTTCATACAATGTAACTGAATTTTTTTTTTAAATTCTGCCTCTCAGAGTGGGAATGCACCTACAATGTGGATTTCAGACCCCTCCATGTTCTAAGTGGGACTGAACTTGCAAAATCACAGGGTGTTCAAGTACTTCTGTGCCTCACTGTATATATATATATATATTATATATATATATATATATATACAACTGTATATATATACTATATTGCCAAAAGTATTGACCTGCCTCTACACGCACAAGAACATTAATGGCATCCCAGTCTTAGTCCATAGGGTTCAATATTAAGTTAGCCCACCCTTTTCAGCTATAACTGCTTCAACTCTTCTGGGAAGGCTGTCCACAAGGTTTAGGAGTGTGTCTATGGGAAACTTTGACCATTCTTCCGGAAGCGCATTTGTGAGGTCAGGCACTGATGTGGGATGAGAAGGCCTGGATTGCAGTATCCACTCTGATCCTCCACCCCAAACTTGCTCATCCATATCTTTATGGACCTTGATTTTTGCACTGGTGCGCAGTCATGTTGGAACAGGAAGGGCCATCCCCAAACTGTTCCCACAAAGTTGGGAGCATGAAATTTTATAAAATATCTTGGTATGCTGATGTCTTAAGAGTTCCCTTCACTGAAACAAGGGGACCAAGCCCAAACCCTGAAAAACAACCCCACACCATAATCCCCTCCTCCACCAAACTTTACCTTTGGCACAAGGCAATCAGGCAAGTACCATTCTCCTGGCAACCACCAAACCCAGACATGTCCATCATATTGCCAGACAGAGAAGCACGATTCATCACTCCAGAGATTATGTCTCCACTGCTCTAGAGTCCATTGGTGGCTTGCTTTATACCACTGCATCCGACGCTTTGCATTGCACTTGGTGATGTAAAGCTTGGATGAAGCTGCTCAGCCATGGAAACTCATTCCATAAAACTATACACTGTTGTTTGTGCTAATCTGAAGCCCACATGAAATTTGGAGGTCTTTAACTATCTATTGTCTCTGCAGACAGTTGGCAATTTCTGCGCACTGTGCACTTCAGTATGTGCTGACCCCACTCTGTCATTTTACATGGCCTACCACTTCGTGGCTGAGTTGCTTTTGTTTCTAGTCACTTCCACTTTGTTATAATACCATTAACAGCTGACCGTGGAATATTTAGTAGCAATGAAATTTCACGGATGGACTTATTGCCTAGGTGGCAACCTATCACGGTACCACACTTGAATTCACTGAGCTCCTGAGAGTGACCCATTCTTTCACAAATGTTTGTAGAAGCAGTCTGCATGCCTAGGTGCTTGACTGTATACAACTGTGGACATGGAGGTGATTGGTACACCTGAATCCAATGAGGATTGGAGGGGTGTCCCAATACTTTTGGCAATATAGTGTAAATATGTGACTGTCCTATTCTGGGTCTGTGGGTGTGCACATGCGAGTCCCCTGCTGACCTGCACTGTGATTGGACACAGCACAATTTTGTCAATGGGTTTCAGCCAATGATTTTTGACACCTGCTGATTGGCTGTGTTCAATTGCAAGCCAGAGTACACATGCCTCTGAGTAAACAGAAGAGTAATCTTGCTGTTTCTTCTCCCTGAAAAGCAGGGAGAAAAAAAAAGCAAGATTGCAAGTAAAAGCAGCACATATTGCACACATTACACTTGTTAGGAACAAAATTAATCCATTGATTGCCCCTAGATGTAAACCCCTTCACAGCCAGTGTCATTAGTACAGTGGCATTGTACAGAATTAGCACTGATCACTGTATTTGTGTCAGTTTGTGTACTTCCAAGCCAGTCAGCTATTGCCAGTTTGCCCGCCACACTCTCACAGTCCCACTATAAGTCACTGATGACAGCCATTACCAGTATAGCGTCATAGCTGTGTAAGTTGCAGTATATACTTGTGGAAGCTATAAAGCAATTAATTTATATTTATTGGGATTTTTTTTTACCAGAATTACCATATTTTTATAGCAGAATACATTTTGGCCTACATTTATGAAAAAAAAGATTTTTTGATTTTTTTATTGGATATGTTTTATAACAGAAAATAGAAAATACCGTATTTTTCGCTCCATAAGACGCACTTTTTTCCCCCAAAAAAAGGGGGAAAATGTCAGTGCGTCTTATGGAGCGAATATAAAGTGGCCGGTCCGGTATTTCTGCCACCACCATGTCAGAATACCGGGCCGGCCGCTCAGCTGTTCTCTCCTGCAGGGCCTTACCTGTTCCTCGCTCCAGCGCTGCACAGTCTTCCAGCGCTGGCTTCTGTGACAGCCGGGTGCCCACTGTGCATGTGCTGCGCTTTGTGAATGATCCGGTGTCTTCTGGGACACATGACAGGTCCCAGAAGGCGCCGGGCCATTCACAAAGCGCAGCGCTTCTCGCGCATGCGCAGTGGGCACCCGGCTGTCACAGAAGCCAGCCCGGGAAGAAGAGGAGAAGACAACTCCGCGGAAGTGGGAGCGGGTGCCTGTCAAATTCAGATACCCGCTCCCCCTCCCTCCCCAAAGGTCAGCAGTCTCTGGTCATTCCCTGCATGTCTACAGTCTCTGGTCATCCCCTGCACTGTCTGCAGTCTCTGGTCATCTGTACTGTGTCCCTGGTATTTTCCCTGTACTATGTCCAGTCTCTGGTCATCTCCTGTACTGTCTACAGTCTCTGGTCATTCCCTGCACTGTCCGCAGTCTCTGGTCATCTCCTGCACTGTGTCCGCAGTCTCTGATCATCTCCTGTACTGTGTCCGCAGTCTCTGGTCATCTCCTGCACTGTGTCCGCAGTCTCTGGTCATCCCCTGCACTGTCTGCAGTCTCTGGTCATCTCCTGTACTGTGTCCGCAGTCTCTGGTCATCTCCTGTACTGTGTCCGCAGTCTCTGGTCATCTCATGTACTGTGTCCGCAGTCTCTGGTCATCTCCTGTACTGTGTCTGTAGTCTCTGGTCATCTCCTGTACTGTGTCCACAGTCTCTGGTCATCTCATGTACTATGTCCGCAGTCTCTGGTCATCTCCTGTACTGTGTCCGCAGTCTCTGGTCATCTCCTGTACTGTGTCTGTAGTCTTTGGTCATCTCCTGTACTGTGTCCGTAGTCTCTGGTCATCTCCTGTACTGTGTCCGCAGTCTCTGGTCATCTCCTGTACTGTGTCTGTAGTCTTTGGTCATCTCCTGTACTGTGTCCGTAGTCTCTGGTCATCTCCTGTACTGTGTCCGTAGTCTCTGGTCATCTCCTGTACTGTGTCCACAGTCTCTGGTCATCTCATGTACTATGTCCGCAGTCTCTGGTCATCTCCTGTACTGTGTCTGTAGTCTCTGGTCATCTCCTGTACTGTGTCCGCAGTCTCTGGTCATCCCTGTACTGTGTCCGCAGTCTCTAGTGATCTCCTGTACTATATCCGCAGGCTCTGGTCATCTCCTGTAGTATGTCCGCAGTCTCTGGTCATCTCCTGTACTGTGTCCGCAGTCTCTGGTCATCCCCTGTACTGTGTCCGCAGTCTCTGGTCATCTCCTGTACTGTGTCCGCAGTCTCTGGTCATCTCCTGTACTGTGTCCGCAGTCTCTGGTCATCTCCTGTACTGTGTCCACAGTCTCTGGTCATCTCCTGCACTGTGTCCGCAGTCTCTGGTCATCTCCTGCACTGTGTCCGCAGTCTCTGGTCATCTCCTGCACTGTGTCCGCAGTCTCTGGTCATCTCCTGCACTGTGTCCGCAGTCTCTGGTCATCTCCTGCACTGTCCACAGTCTCTGGTCATCTCCTGTACTGTGTCCGCAGTCTCTGGTCATCCCCTGTATTGTGTCTGCAGTCCATTGGTTCAGAATATTTTTTTTTCTTGTTTTTTGCCTCTAGGTGCGTCTTATGGTCAGGTGCGTCTTATGGAGCGAAAAATACGGTATATTTTTTTTCATAATTTTCAGTATTTTTTGTTTATATATTAAAAAATAAAAAAAACAGTGGTGATCAAATACCACCAAAAAAAGTGTGTGAAAACAATGAAATAAATGTAATTTGCATACAGTATTAGATGATCACGCAATTGCCAGTTAAAGTAGTGCAGTGCTGAGCAATAAAAAATGGCCTGGTCATGAAGGAGGTAAAACCTTCCAGAGCTCAAGTTGTTAATTTATCCACATTTTTGGAGAAAATTACAAGGAAGGAAGACATCTATAGAAGCTGTAGGGTTTTCACTGTGTAACTCTATGCAGTTAGGAACATCAAGTTTCGGAGCTGAAAGCCTGAGAACCAAATCATGTAACGTATTGTCACATAAAAGATTATTATTTTTCTAAAAAGAAAACATCTACATCTCCACATTTAAGATATGGAAATTTTGTTAACTGTTTTTTTTTGTGAATCTGAAGAAAAAAATTTCAAAGTTTTCAAGACTGATTCAGTGTTATTCTTTTCTGTCAAAATTTTCTGTCATTCTTTTTTGACAAATAGAGAAGGAGCACCTTGCACCTTAAGGCCCTTTCACATGGGGTGGACCCACCAGCAGATTAATTTGCTCAGTGGGAGATCTCTCCACTGATCCCTTCTGAGCAGTGGATGATAGGTCTGTGTCCATACCACTGCTGCAGAACAGACACAGCCTGCTTTTTCCTATGGGGCGGTCAGATGGAAATGGACCACCTGTCCGTTTCCACCTGACTGTTATCCAATCCACCAGAAGGACAGGGAGCAGATTCCTATCCATCAATTTTTGGCTTATAGGAACAGATCAGATGCTGGAGGATGTCAGCGGACACTTGTCCACTGACACCAGCCGGTCCATAGAAGTCTATGGATGGTCCGATCGAGTCCACCTGAAAAACTGACAGGCAGACCCGATCAGACTATCACTGTGAAAGGGGCCTTAGAAGTATTTTTTGTTGTTTTATAAATGCTTTCAGATTAACAATTAAAGGTAATATGTCATAAAAAAAGAAAATAGGTATAGTTCTGCTTTGGGATTTCACAGCAATTCATTTTCTCTTCTTAGCTGCAGATCTGTTCCACTTACAAATTCATGTAGGAATTGATGGCAGGCAACTGGTCAAAATCTTTCCTAGCAGCTTTCTTAATTGAATGCCAAAGTGTTGCTACATGTTTGCACTGTTTGTGGATTTTCATGTTGCAAAATTTCCAAAGACTCATCAGTTGTACAATTATTTTCTCTACTGACAAGCTTACACAATTTTTCCAAGAAACGGTTGAGTTCCTGGAAAAAATATTCAAAAGGTATAGTGCATCCAGAAAGTATTCACAGCACTTAACTTTTGCCACATTTTGTTATGTTACAGCCTTATTCCAAAATGGATCAAATTCATTTTTTTCCTCAACATTCTACAAACAATACCCCATAATGATAACGTGAAAGAAGTTTGTTTTGAAATCTTTGCAATTTATTGAAAATAAAAAAACAAAAAAAAAAAAACACATGTACATAAGTATTCACATCCTTTGCTCAATACTTTCTTGAAGCACCTTTAGCACCAATTACAACCTCAAGTCTAAATGGAACATGCGCAATGGACTAGAGATGATATGTAGATTAAACTGGCTGCTGCTAGCAATACCACAAATGCGTCAATAAAATGTAAATAAATGCTGCGCTGCCACTAGTGAATAATTGTGCCACACAACCCTCATAGTTGTGACTCACAAATGGATTGACAAAGAAATAAGTGACTACATACCATATAAAACATACTATCCATAGTGCGCACCCTTCCTCCCCAGGGTCTCAATGCATCCCTGTGGTTAAGGGGAATTTGGTATATCTATATACTGTGCATGTAAGACCAATATTAACAGACTGTGCTATAATTGTGCAATACTGTGCAAAATAGGTGTACAAATAATAATACAATCATGGACAGCAATCCTCTCAATTAACCGGTTGCAAATACAAAATTCTAAATTGAAAAATGATTGAAAAAAATTAGTATAGTAGTTCGTCCTATATACTGAAGGTGAGATTCAGATCCACTTGTCCAGACTCTGACCTGATTTTTTTTTTTTTTTTTTTTTTAGTCCATCTCTTTCCTTTCCTTTTATTCTTTTTATTTTTCACATGTTCTACAGAAAGCAGCTGCTCACCGTTCATTTCTTATGTTTTCCACCACTGCTTGTTAAGCCTGTATGCATTATACATTTTTTCTAATTCACTACCCCGCCCCTCAATTGCCCACCCCTTCCTCCTCTCCTTATTTGTTGGCTCATCCCACTAGCCAATCAGGTCTGATGAAAAGGCAGGTTGCCTAGAAACGCATCACCGCCCCCTTGGAGGATTCCCAGCAACGTCCTGATGTCATTTCCTGCCCGGCGGCCATCTTGGATGTGCCTCAAGCTGGCTCCTGTACCCACGCTGATGTGAGAGATCAGCAGTGCCTGTCCTGGATCCCGGTACTTATCTGTGGCGCGACTCCCGGTTACTGCACCTGCCATCCTCGCTTCCTCCTGTGGGACCCGCCTAGAGCGCCAGCCGCGCAACACCTTGGCATTGCAGCCATCCATTTGTGAGGTGCAGCACAGATGACATCCTCCTCCTTATATATTGATGCCTGATATCTACCCACTTCTTGTGAGTTTTTATAATCTTGTGTGCAATAAACTTCTATATTCCTACTGCACTTAGTCTGGCACACTTCTCTTTCTTCTCTATTGACCTGATCATGATCCTAACAGGTGCCTGGACTACAACAAAATGGCGGCCTCTAGTACCAGCAATGCAATACAACATAACAAGGAACCGACCACAACAATATGGCAGCCAGAGGGACTACAACAAAATGGCGACTGCCAGTCAATATCGATTATTATCAGGATTTTGGGGGCTATATATAGATAACCAGTGGGGCACTCCAGCTCCACTCTTGATGACATCATATGATGAAACGCATAGAACGGTGTTTGTTAGCGCCACATCTGTTCCTTGAGAGGAAACATAGAGGAATTGCAGTGTCCTAGGAATTTAAAGTGCCATACACAAGTGCATTTTTAAGTGTTTTATACCCAATAAAAACAGTATTACGCTATGGAAGATTTCTTTTGATTGTTTTTCACAATGGTGGAGGAGGATTATGGATGATCTGCAGTGTTCTTTCATATATGGAGTTCATTACCAATGGATAGAGGCTCCAAGAACATATAGGAAGCTGATTGCTTTAGGGGCTAGCTGAAGCACCAAATGCACAGTTTGACCTACCTATACAGGGGGTCAACATCTTGTGGTAAGTGGGGCTCTGGAGGGGAAGCACTAAGTGGAGCACTCGACACAAAGATCTTTATGCATAAGAAGATTGATCACTGAATCACATAGCATCACAAATGATGTGAATGTGGAAAGTGTTTCACATTGGCACTTTAAATATTTGTATGTGGTTAGAGGTGCACTGGGACTTTATTATTTTGCACTGTGTATAAGTGTAACAACCATATACATAATTTTTTTCAATCATTTTTCAATTTAGAATTTTGTATTTGCAACCGGTTAATTGAGAGGATTGCTGTCCATGATTGTATTATTATTTGTACACCTACTTTGCACAGTATAGCACAATTATAGCACAGTCTGTTAATATTAGTATTACATGCATGGTATATAGATATACCAAATTCCCCTTAACCACAGGGATGCATTGAGAACCTGCGGAGGAAGGGTGCACACTATGGATAGTATGTTTTATATGGTATGTAGTCACTTATTTTTTTGTCAATCCATTTGTGAGTCAAAACCACGAGGGTTGTGTGGCACGGTTATTAACTAATGGCAGCACAGCATTTATTTACAGCCTCAAGTCGTTATGAGTGTGATGCTACAAGCTTGGCACACCTATTTTTGGGCAATTTCTCCCATTCTTCTTTGCAGTACCTCTCAAGCTCCATCAGGTTGGATGGGGAGTGTCAGTGCACAGCCATTTTCAGATCTCTCCAGAGATGTTCAATTGGTTGCACTGTACTACTGAAGAAGAGTCTCCCCTGAAAATCAGCATCCCCAACATTCCAAGATGTATTCACTGGGGTTGATTTACTAATGCTGGAGGGTGCACAATCTAGTGCAGTTCTACAAAGAAACCAATCAGCTTCTAGGTTTTATTGCCAAAGCTTAATTGAACAAGCTGAAGTTAGAAGCAGATTGGATACCAGGCAGGGTTGCACCAGATTTTGCACTCTCCAATTTTAGTAAATCAACCCCATTGCTTCTATCCAGATACAGTAAATGATTAATTTGGACAATAACTATGATACCAATGGAGATGTTTGGTGCCAGTGCATTATTGATTATAACTGCATTTCTTCCAAATATATTGGCTTTTGAATGTCCTTAGGAGCAGTGGGCTTCCATGATCAGATAAAAGCTAGAGCTGCCTTTTCTAACACCCTGTGAAGAGTGGTAAAACTTGAATGGTTTGGTAAAAGAAAGCACTTTTTGCACTAGAAAACTTCATTCTTTGCTAAGCACTATCCATTTTCAAGGTTGCCTTTTCTTTATGGGCTTCACTATTTATGTGCTTTTTACCAGTTTCTTTATGGGCTATTGAAATATCAAAGCAGCAGGCTGAGCAATAAATGTATTTGTTCCCTTTTTTTTTTTACTTTTTTTAAGAACCGGTTATGCTGTAGTATAACTCTCTTTCTATGAGCAGGTATATTTTCTTTTTCATATCTTCTAAACAATGTTAAAGTGTATGTATAGCAAAATGTTTTGTTTAGTCTTGGATAGAGCAGGTAA